TCTATCTATCTATCTATCTATCTATCTATCTATCTATCTATCTATCTATCTATCTATCTATCTCTATCTCCTTTTTTTAAAGCAGAAAAAAAACCCACTCTCCATTCTATAATATCAGAAGGACAAAGAGGATACAACACATATTTACAAACAATGTGTGGCCAGCAATGTGAGACAAGATGAAAGGCTATATGGAGAATTGTTTGAGTCAAGCCTATATCCAAAATTTAAGAGCAAAGTTTAAAATGAACAGTTAAAGTTTGAAGAACTTTTAGAACCCAGTGGAGGAACTGAACAAACTTTCCATGGATCAAAGTCTGACACTACTCCCCTTCTTGCTTTCCTGGGATCCTGGTCTTTTGCCACAAACTTTGTACAGTTTCATTTTGTCCACATTCATTGATAGTCCATCCCTTAAACTGCAGCCTAGCTAGAAGCATTTACACAAAAGTGCTAGCTTCAATACTGTATTCTAAATCTAGTACTACAGATTTTCTCAGGTGATTACTGAATCCATCCACAACAATCAGAAAACGGGCACTGTATCCAAAAAGATGCTTACCCACACGAAAATATGTCACTTTGAGTATTTTATTGGCACGAGCACCATAGGTGGTGTTTAGTTCACATGTATAATCAGTGCTGGTACCAGACTTGTCTACTGGGCACTGAGATTCACTAGCCTGTAGCGAGTAGATGGTACAGTTGTTCATAGATGTAGTGCTTCCTGCAAAGAAAAGCAATCAATTTGAAGAAAAAAGATTGAAGAAAGGCCAATGTTTGAAATAAAGCTATGTAATATCTGAGTTTCTGCTTCCTATAGCACATTGCATGCAGTGTGTGGTATTCACAGAACTGACGGCAGTCCCCACTAAGGTCTGCAGTTCTGGTGGGAGTGCCAATCGCTCCCATTGGCTGATGCCTTTTGACAGCCGGCTATAAAAGGAGCTGTCAAACGGCATCAGCTTTTGCCACCAGTTGATCTGCCCTGTTAGCCTCGGCAGCTGCGGCAACCCTTTATTCATTGAATAAAGCTTTTAACTGTCCACTCTGAGTCTGCCTCGTATCTCCGCCGCTCCACAACACTGGCGACGAGGGTGGGATGCAATAAGAGGCAACCAGACGTTCAACAAGCTGAGCTAAGTCCCTTAAAAAGAGCCGGAGCCACCGAGAGCTGACAGCCGCAGACGCTGATGCTCTCCACAAGCACGAAGTTTAAAAGCCTCCACAGCTGAGGAGACAGACGCCGCCTGACAGGCGCAGCCGCAATCACTCTTTTAAGAATGCGATTTTCAAAACCTTCCCTTGCTGAAAAGACAGATGCTGCTGCCTCACAATGACTTCCAGCCCGGCATTCCCACCTTTCAAGCCGACTGCTGAGACGTGGGAATCATACAAAAATCGTTTCTTCTGCTTCCTAGATGCGATAGACCTCACAGACACCACAGACCACCAAAAAAAATCATACTTCCTTAGTTTTTGCGGGGCCGCGGTTTTTGACACTGCTACAGCACTGGTTGCTCTTTGTTCTATTAGAACTATCCCCTGGGAGGAGCTTCAAGAGATCCTCTCCAACCACTACTCCCCTAAGCCTTCCCAACATGCCTTTAGGATGAGGAAGCAGTCTGAGGGGGAGTCAGTTAGTGAGTATATGGCAGCTTTACGATCAGCTGCCCTACAATGTGGGTTCAGAGATTACCTAGAAGACATGCTCCTAGATCAGATTGTCTGTGGGGTCAAGGACCTGAGGCTTCAAAGATGTTTGCTAGCTAAAAGAGACCTGACCTTAGCTATAGCTATAGAGGAAGCCCAAGCTGCTGAGCTATCTGCTCTGTCAGCAGCTGAAATACAAGGGACCCCTATCAGGCAAGGCAGCTCAACTGTTCGCTCTGAGGAAGTTTCCCTAGATGAAAATCCTGAAGACACAATGGAGGTAAACCGCCTTAGACAACAGAAGCCCCCACTAGAAGGACCTAGGCAAAAAACCAACCTCGCCCCCAGGCAGCAACCTATCTGCCTGAGCTGTGGAGGTACCCATCTTAGGGCATCCTGCAGGTTCAGGAATGCAATCTGCCTGAACTGTCAAAAGAAAGGCCACCTAGTTAGAGTCTGCCAAGCAGGGATAACTTTTCCACAGAGACCTCAACCTACTGCTAATTTTCAAAGGCAAGTTGAGGATTGCTATACCTGCTACCACTCAGATCACACTTCAAAAGGCTCTAACAAAATAAGTATCTTTGCTTTTTTAGAAGGTAAGCCTTGCAAGATGGAGGTGGACATGGGATCTGCACTTTCAATCATCTCCTGGGAAACCCTGAAGAAGATGCATCCCAGAATGTCCAAGAAGAAGTTCCTGAACTGCCACCTGACTCTGTGTGATTACCAAGGCAAGAATATCCCTGTCCTTGGGAAAGGCAAGTTTTTAGTCCAATTCCAAAACTTCAAAGGCCACTTGCCTTTGGTGGTAGTAGATGGTGCCCTCCCTAGTTTACTGGGACTAGATTGGTTCCCTGCTCTTGGCCTCAGCATAACTGGTATCCACGCTGTTTCAACCTCTGAAGTAGTCACCCTATTCAGAGACTACTCTGATGTATTTAGCAAAGATTTAGGGTGTTACTCTGGTACCCCTATTTCATTCAATGTAGACCCACAGGCAACTCCCATTCGCCTTAAACCATGCAGAGTACCTTTTGCTATTCACCCCAAGTTAGACATAGAGCTAGATAAATTACTAAAGCAAGGGGTGTTAGAACCGGTAGATTTTGCAAGATGGGAGACCCCCATAGTCACCCCACTTAAAAAAGATGGCAGCATGAGAATCTGCACTGATTACAAAACTTCCCTCAATCGTTTCCTGCAAGTCAGCGCATACCCTGTCCCTGTCATCCAACATCTTTTACACACCTTTGAGCCTGGGACTATCTTTGCAAAATTAGATATGTCCCAGGCCTACCAACAGTTTCCTGTTGACAAACAGACTGCAGAATTACAAACCATAGTCACCCATAGGGGTGCATTTAAGTGCAAACGTCTCCAATTTGGTGTTAGTGTAGCCCCTGGAATTTTTCAATCTCTAATGGTGAGGCTTCTCCAAGGACTTCCAGGCGTAGTCCCCTATTTTGACTACATTTTGGTTTCAGCTATGGATAAGACACAACTAATACAGAGGGTCAGAACAGTCCTTGAGCGGTTTAGGCAGCATGGCCTCAAACTTAAGAGGGAGAAGTACACCATCGCCACTAAGCAAGTGGACTTTCTAGGCTACAGAATTGACGCCTCTGGTATTCACCCAATTGAGTCCAAAGTCAGGACTATCCACGAGGCACCCACACCTTCCAACAAGACTGAACTCCAAGCCTTCTTAGGGCTTCTGAATTTCTATGCTGCATTCCTCCCACATAAAGCATCTATAGCAGAACCTCTGCACAGACTTTTAGATAAACAATCCCCCTGGCATTGGGGACCTAGGGAAGCCCATGCCTTCAAATCCGTCAAGTCCTTGCTCACATCTAATGCAGTTTTAATTCAATTCAATCAGCAGCTGCCCCTAGTCCTGGCAGCAGATGCTTCCCCCTTTGGTGTAGGGGCAGTTCTGACCCACAGGGTCCCTAATGGCTCTGAGGCACCAATTGCCTTCTTCTCAAGAACCTTCTCTGCTGCAGAAAGAAACTACAGCCAAATTGATAAAGAGGCTTTGGCTGCAGTTGCTGCTGTTAAAAAAAGTTTCACGAATTCCTTTATGGTCACTACTTTGAACTTATAACAGATCATAAACCACTTTTAGGCCTTTTGTCAGGGGACAAGCAAACCCCACAGGTCCTATCACCAAGGATGACCAGGTGGACTCTGTTCCTGGCCGCCTATTCATACAAACTAGTGCATCACCCGGGAAAGAACATGTGCCACGCAGATGCCCTCAGTCATTGCCCCCTACCAGTGCCAGTCGAAGACCCCGCACCCATACATGCTATTTTTGAGGTCAATGAACTCAACTTGCCTATTACAGCTGAAGAAATTGCCACTCACTCCTAAAGGGACAAGGTAATTGCCCAAGTCCTGGACTGGGTGGGAAGGGGGTGGCCTGCAATTCAACACACTCCTGAATTTTTACCATTCAAGATTCACAGGCAAGAGTTGTCATTCCTACAGGGTTGTTTGTTGTGGGGGACAAGGGTGGTCATCCCTGCCACACTACAAGAGCCAGTCTTAAAGGTCCTACATGAAGGCCACCTGGGCATCGTGAGGATGAAGGCCCTGGCCCGCAGCTATGTGTGGTGGCCAGGCATCGATGCCCAGATCTCCAGCTGGGTAAGCTCATGCCAGCCATGCCAAGCTACCAGACCAGCCACACCTGCAGCCACTCCTACCCGGTGGGAGGATGCTGGAGCCCCTTGGTCTCGGCTACACATCGACCTGGCAGGCCCAGTGCATGGGCGGACTTTCCTAGTCCTAGTGGACTCTTTCTCTAAATGGATTGACCTGGCTCTTCTTCCTTCCACAACCACACTGGCCATCACAAGAGCCCTGACCAGAGTATTTGTCACCCATGGCCTCCCTGACACACTGGTATCCAACAATGGCCCCCAGTTCACCTCTTGTGAGTTTGAGGTTTTCGCAGCCAATCTGGGCATCAGGCACATCCTCACAGCCCCTTTTCACCCTGCAAGCAACGGGATGGCTGAGAGGGCAATTAGGTCAGTAAAAGAAGCATTGGCGAGGTTTGGCCAGATAGACTGGCACTCCAAACTGTCCAGATACCTTCTGACCCAGCATACAACCCCCTGTACCATGACTAACGAATCACCTGCAGAATTGCTAATGGGCAGCGCCTTAGGACCACCTTGGATAGATTGCACCCCCATTACACCCCTGGCAGCCCCTTGGGTTCTGACAGCCTTACCAGGGAATTCGCCCTGCATGACCTGGTCTATGCCAGGAATTATGCAGGGGACCCATTATGGGTTCCAGGACAGGTTATATCAGTTATAAGGCCAAGGTCCTACAGGGTCCTCCCGGACGACGGTCATATGTGGCGCCGACACGTAGACCAGCTGAGGAGGCATAGGAGAAAGACTACTGATGACTCCCGCATCCAGCCAAGTGACCCGGTCTACCCAGCAGACACCAACAGTCCCCACCCAGGCGAACCGGTCTACCTGTCAAATGCCAAGGAACTGGTCTACCCATCAAATGCCAAGGGGCCGGTCTACCCAGGGAACGCCGAGAGTCCAGTCTACCCAGCAAACACTGAGGGTCCGGTCTACCCAGCTAACGCCGAAGGTTCCCAACCAGACGGTCTACCCAGCAAACGGCGAGGGTCCGGTCTACCCAGCCAATGCCGAAGTCTCCCAACCAGACGACCCAGTCTACCCAGGGAATGCTGAGGACTCCCAGCCAGATGACCCGGTCTACCCACCCAACCAAAAGATGCGCCCGAAGCATGCCGAATGGAGAAACCTACCTGGAACACTGCCAGGCACTCAGACTAAGGTCCCTGACAATTGAACTTGCACTCCTGCAGCTTCCAAGGTGATCCAAGGGGCGAAGGACTCTGCCCAAGCCAGAGATCCTCTGGGACTCAGGCGGTCCAACCGCCAGCACAGGAGGCCGGCCTGTTTACAGGACTATGCATGCTCCTGGCCAGGGGAAAGGAGTGTGGTATTCACAGAACTGACAGCAGTCTCTACTCAGGTCCGCAGTTCTGGCGGGAGCGCCGATCGCTCCCATTGGCTGATGCCGTTTGACAGCCAGCTATAAAAGGAGCTGTCAAACGGCATCAGCTTTTGCCACCAGCTGATCTGCCCTGTTAGCCTCGGCAACCGCAGCAACCCTTTATTCATTGAATAAAGCTTTTAACTGTCCGCTCTGAGTCTGCCTCGTATGTCCGCTGCTCCACAACACAGTGGAATTATGAAGAAGAATGAAGAGGAATTTGTATATTGTTGTTAAATTTATATCCCGCCTTTCTTATAGGAGCTCAAGGAAGTGTACATAGTGCTCAGCCCTCCATTTCCCCCCCAATAAAAACCTGTGAGATGAGTTGAGCTGAGAATTCATTGCACACACAGTAAAAGGCTGAGTACATGCAAAATAATAGTTAACCAACCTAAGTTACCCAAAATAATAGTAAAAAAATTAGACATCCTAAAACATTGTTGCTTTAGATAGTGGGATGGCCAGCATATAAATATAATAATTAAATCAATATACTGTGGGCTCATGACTGTAGCAACAAAGGCTGCTGGGTGTTGCCAAGCTGTGGGACAGTAGGCAGGGGATCCTTTTTTTAGCCTCGCAATTGCAGTTCTGGATCGGGTCCAAGTGGAGACACATCGGCCTACCCTCTGGTGCTTTGGAAAATAAGTTGATCCCCCTCCCTCTTCTTTGTGGCAGCCTGTCAATTTTTCGATCTCAATTTTTCTGATGAATGCTACATTTCCCATTGACGGGTCAATTACTTTCATTCTCCCCTTTGCAGGCAAATCTGGAAGTCTAGGTTTTGTGAAGAAGAAGAGAAAGCAGAAATAGGAAAGCATTTAGCTTTCTGCCCCACATTTCCAACTGACATCAAGAGATTGGAGCTCTCCATGACCAAAGATTATTATCTTTTTGGTCTAGGAAGGGAGCAAACAGTGAATTTGCTTAACACATAGGCCAGTTCAAGTTAGACAATGGTGGAGCAAGCGAAAGTAACACAATTTCAGGTTCTGGTCTTGATTTTGCTTTGATGGAGAAATGTATGAAAGTCAGAATCTGGGCCCATATTCGTGTCCAATATTCTGTGATCCATAAAATAACACAAATGTTGAGAGACAACTACACTTTCTATATAAAGAGCACTGGAAAGAGTAAAGTGATCAGCTATAATCAGCTCTTAGTATAGATGATATTGCTACATACCTGAAATATTTATTGCTCCATTGGGTCTCCAATAAGGAGAGAAAAGTTGTATGTCTCTATCTGTGCAGCAGCTTAGTTCTCTTCTATCTGTACCATCACAGACAATAGAAACATTTTCTGATGGCACAAGTTTAATTTGAGAGACCACTATATTAACTTCACCTATGTATGTTGAGGACAATTTCCCTGTGTCATCTTTAAAATTGCAAGTAAAATTATCTGCAAAAAGACAAATATGTTATGGGCAAACATAGTTTCCTAAAATAACATACTTTTAACACTTAACACATTAACAAAAGCCACTTTTGAAATATAACAAGCTTATCACAGTTCTCTAATAAAAGAAATGTATGCTGCAGTTCTAATACATGAGGCTATATCTCAGAGAAATAGTCCGTCCCAAACTGAGTATGAACCAGAAGGGTGAGTTAAAAACTTACAATGCAGTATTATTTTGCTTTAATAGAATAACTAGTTCAGCTAACATCATACCAGCCAGCATACCTCTAGTTGTGCAACAGGAATTTGTTTTCCATCCTAAATGTGCTCTTGAGAGTTTCCCAACCATCTTGTTCAAACTTGTGAGTGCAGCAATAATATAGGCTAGCAGGGTAATTTTTGGTAGTTTTGGTAAAAAGTTATTCAATAAAAATTATGTAACAGTGACAAAACATAGCCTGCCTTCATCATTTCAGGCACCACACCTTAAGAATGAGATAGGAAAATTAGCATTGGTTCAAAGAAGGCCACCAAATGATCAATCAAATAGGTGGCGTGAGGAAAGCTGGTCAGAAACAGGATCCATAGGCAACCACAGTGGGCAGACAAATGTCAGAGCACACAAAGCCTATGACCCACACATTTGTATTCACTGCTGAGAAACAAATATGTAAGGGCAAATTCCACATGTCTTCATTATGTGCCTGCTGTCATTTTGAACTAACCTCACACTGGTGTGGTGCTTATGACCGAGTCTATTGACACTGGACAGGAGAAGGTTGAGAGAGAATGTATCAACACTTTATAGGTTATCTGAAGAACTGCTTCATAAATATAACCAATAATATTGAAGAGCAGGGCTAGATTTGATGGACTTAAGTTACAATGAAATTTGTGAGATAAAATGAGGAAGCACCTTTTAACAATAAGTGTAGATGGAGCCAATTAACCAGAAGGGTGGTACACTTTCCTCACTGGAAACCCAAATAGAGATTCCCCAGCTATTTGTTGGGAATGGTCTAAGTTCTAAATCTCCTGCTCTGAGAAGGGAGTTATCCATAATGCATTTCTTTCTGGTCTTTGCTGGTTCCATAAACAAAAGGACTCACGTTAAAGTTAATAATGTTTCCCAACAAAACCTCCACAGTCTCCTACCACAACCTGGAGACATTTGCTGGAATAGCTGACCAAGATCTTTGATATAATGGAGAGAGGACATGCTAATGCTATTAGGTAGCTATCAGCTCATCCATACATGCTGCTTGCCCTGGCACAAGGATGGCTCATTCACTGTTTTTTGATGACCGAAACTCATAAAATAATCTTCAGCCACACCCTAGACCATTACCAAGGTCATCTTCACCCATCTGCCTCCTCTGCCTCCAGACAGCTGTTTTCTGACTTTTGCCAGCATAATACAATCAATGCTGTGTGTCTGCTATACAAACAACATCTCAGCAGCCTTCAAAGTTTGCAGAAGGGCAAAATATATTTGGGAAAGGGAAAATGGGATTCAAGGAGGAATTGCTGAAGGCATGGAATCCGACTAACGATTGATAGGAAAAAACGGAGATCCTGGTGGAAATGGAAATGACTAGAGGAGGATAGGGATGCCTGGAATAGTGACCAGAACACACACTGCACTGAATTCCTGCTTGTTGATTTCATTTTGGCACACAGTTTGGGCTGATATTCTGACATGAGACTAGCTGAAGCTCTGAGCACAGAAGACCTACTGCTAATCTCACCACTGATGGAGGGAAATTTGCTGAAGGTGGAAGAAAGTTTATTATTGGGAATGCATCGGAGCAGGCTCCATGGTGTTTGTCAGCATTGATCCAATCTTTAAGTATATTCTGTCTACAGTTGGGAGGCCAGCAGTGTTCAAGTAAGAGTAACGTTTTATGCCATACTTCAGTAACTAGTTACTTCAGTAACTTTGACAGTGGTGGCATGTTGTTTTCCCAGCATAATAGAATGAGTATGTTTGGTTATACTTGGCCAAATTTTAGATCGACGAGGAATATTATTTTCAAACAATCCCAGTTTAAAAAGGGACATTGTTGGCTCCAACAATGGACTGCAAGGGCCACAAATTTTTGGATCTATTTTCTGCCTTTCTACAGCACTGTTTATAAGAAGAGAATATCTGTAGCTCGGGGTGAATTGTGGAATTCTTGATGCTCTCTGAACTTGATTGTTTGCTTGCAGACATTTTGTTCCCTGGCTAGGAAATATCACCAGTGCTAGGAAGTGTGGGGCTTGTTCCCTGTTTATATACAATGGCTTACCCTGCTAATGTTGGTGGGAGTGTTTATAAGAATTGGTTCAGACCCTTTGACTGCTGATTATCGGGCAACACAAACAACAGCTCCAGCACCCTTCTATTTGGAATTCAGAATTACCTGCTTCGTTCAACTTGATGTCTGTTATTGTCAGGGTTGCTATCTTGCTTCCATCTTTAACCTCGTCTGTAAATATAAGCCTGTCAGCCTTGATGACATTATAACTCCAGGTCACCTTTCTTGAAATGTATTCTGTTGTGCAGGTTATTTTTACTGTATCTCCCTCGAAAATGTGTTCAGGAGAAGTAGAGATATTTACTTTACCTAGCATGGCATAAAGAGAATTCTTCAAAACTGGTGGAACTGAAATATTTATTATTACCATGTATAATTTAGTAAAATGTACAATTTAATGATTGCTGTTCAGTCTAGGGAAAATTGCTATTTTAAGATATAAGACACAGATGCTATATTTATACTCTCTTGGACTCTTTTGGGGAGTGAAAATGAAGCTCTACATAGTCCTATAATTCAATACATAGTTAATCTTTCATTCTAAATATCCAGCAAGCCACATATACATATATATCTATACACATATCACACACACGTAGACGACACACTGTTTCAACCTGAAAAACTAATAATTTTCCAAAATATGAATTCTAAAATTCATATTCATATGTGAACCAACATATGATACAGAGTATTGCTTGTATAATGATCAGCTACTTCATAGTATTATTTTGTACTCTTCTGAATATGCTTTGTTCAAAAGAGTACAAAATAATACAGTGAAACTACCTAGCAAAATGAAGACATTGAAATGGATATCTTAATTGCCTTAAACATTCAGTTCAAAGGAGCTCTGGTTCAGGAGGTGAGATAATTTTGCATGAGGGATTTTCCAAGGTGATTAACAATAATTTAGCTTAATGAATACAAACATCATTTTCAAACAAAGTGGTGCCAATCAATGGCCACCTTTTCACAAATCCATGTTAAAGGCTGAATCTCCAAGATTGATTCTTCACTATCATAGCTTGGCCCGTGGTTGTAAAATTAAATTAAAACTCTAAAGATATTTTCTCACCACCAAGGACAGCAACTGTATTCACCAAAACAGAGACACACATTTTAAATAAAAGGCATTAAAAAACATTACCAAAGACTTCTGTTGAAAAAGTGGAGGATGCTAAGTGATAGGGGTAACGTAAGAGAGCTGCTATATCAGGATGTGCATTTTCAAGCGGGATCTGCTTTGCTGAGGTTATTTCATAGCTAACTACGATGCTTCCAGGCCTATGTAAAAAGAATATTGTCCAGTAAGGTCAAGCTCATTATGTAATAAATTATACACAATATCGTTCTTCTGCCAATCTAGTAGTTTGAAAGCATGCAATGCAAGTAGATAAATAGGTACCACTTTCGTGAGAAGGTAATAACATTCTGTGCACCTTCAGCATATAGTCATATCGACCACATGATCATGAAAGCATCTTCAGACAATGCTGGTTCCCTTGGCTAGGAATCAGAAATGAGCATTACCTCCCTTGGATTGGACATGACTGGATAGAGAAAACCTTAATTTTTTTAAATGGCTTTTAAAGCTATATTTTCATGGTAGCTGAAAGAAAAGAAAACTAGATGTGGACTTTTTTCATCATTCTTGTCTACAATTCTGCCTTATCTACTCAAAAGCATTTCCAGTTTTTCTGGAACCCTGATAGCAGTACAGTCCAATGTGATGGCTTATAGCTAACAGGACAAAGGGCTATTCAGCAGTGAACTCCTGCTTCTGCAGTAGATTTTCCATCTTCCTAGGTCTCCAGAATCTACTTCAGATGGCCCACCAATCTTCCTGACAATTGTTTCTTTGTTTGCTTGTTTTTTCTAGTAAATGCTGTCCTTGAACCTCTCCCCACCAAAATACCCTTACTGAGGGAAACCCAAAGTATCTTAAGTGCTAGAATTGTATAATGGACTCTAAAGATGAATTAAAATATTCACTGCTTTGTTTTAAGTGTTTAAATTGTGTTTGCATGTTTACCTCTGCAATTCTATAATGAAGAGAAATATAATATCCCCATTGAATTCAATTACTGTCCCTATATTACAGCATCTATGTGTCTGTATGCTAAATTTCTCAATGATACAATCAGAACAATGAAAATTTCATGGAAAAATTTACAACTATCTTTAATTGGTAGAATAGTGACAATTAAAATGAATATATTGCCAGAAATATTATACTTATTCCAGGCAATTCTAATAAGATTGAAAAAAAAATACTTTGAAGATTTAAATAAAATGATGTTGAAATTTATCTGGCAGGGGAAAAAGACTAGATTTAAGATAAAATTACTACCAGATGCAAGGTTGAGAGGGGGGTTTGGATTACCCTATTGGGAACTATATTACCAGGTAACAATATTGAAGTGGATGAAGGAATGGATTGTATTGAAAAATGCCAGATTATAAACACTAGAAGGCCATGATTTACAATTGGGGCGGCATGCATTTTTATGGTACAAAGAAAGTAAGGTACATGGATACTTTAGGAGACACTGCATTAGGGATGCTTTATTAACAGTATCAGAAAAAAATAAGAGACTATCATTATATGAAAATGCCAGTCTGGTTATCAACATTAGAAGCTTTTACATATCCACAGCTTTTTAGAAAGGAATACATTATTAGATATGAAGAAATTTTAAATGAAAAGAGTGAACTCAAAACAAAGCAAGAATTAGGGTTACAAGGGATAAATATAAATTGGTATTTGTATTTGCAAATACATACAAGGTATGAAAAAGATATTAAGATGGCTGGGTTTTATAAGGAATTGACTGAATTGGATAAAATCCTAACAGGCACTGAAGAGAAGTTGATCAACAAATTATATAGTTATTTATTTGGAGTGAAATTAGAGGAAAAACAAGTAAAAGAATCAATGATTGCATGGGGGAGAAATTTTAGATATGGAATAGATTTGGATAAATGGCAGATATTATGGTCTAGAAGCTATAAATTAACTATGTCAACACCCTATAAAGAGAATTTGTATAAGATGTTTTACAGGTGGCATCTACCCCCAACAAGAATTGCCAAGATGTTTAAAGATAAGTCGGCGAAGTGCTGGAAATGTCAGAAGTCACCAGGATCATACTACCATATGTGGTGGACATGTACAGAAGCTAAAAAGTATTGGACTAGAATATACATGCAGCTGGGGAAAATGATAAAACAGCATATAGATTTAAAACCAGAGACATTTTAATTGGGAATTTTGCCTGAGGGTTACAATAAAGAGTTAACATATTTGATTATCAATGTTTTAACAGCAGCTAGGATTGTATTTGCACAAAATTGGAAAAATGACAAAATTCCGATGGATGAGGAAATAAGAAAACAATGGAATGTGCAGAAATGAGTAGATTGACAATGGCAATTAGAGAACAAGAAGAAAAAGATTATTATAAAATTTGGAATTTATTTTATGAATGGTTGGAAAAAAGAGTAAGAAATTGAAATATGTAAGTATAGTATAATATATCATTACCGATAAACAAATGAGTTAGATAGAGTAAGAAAATGAATGTGAAATATATCATTGAAAGTCAATAATTACAATGTTAAGGATAATATAACAAGTGATACATGTGATATAAAATATTGATTAGAACGATTATAAGTATATATAAGTAAAATATGTATGAGAATGTTACTATGTGCACAAAGATATATGTACCCAACTGACACACTATTGAACAGAAAGGTTTTACTTGTTTGTTGTTGTTATAAAAATAAAAAACTTTTTTATAAAAAAAAGAACAATGAAAATTTCAAAACTGGAAGAAAGATTTCTTTTTCTTATGGACACTCCAGAATATACTGAAAATGCCCTGAGAGATCTTTTGCTAGTTGGAGATTAGGATTGAGGAAAAGAAATTGTATAGGAGCCAAAAAGTAATCCTTGATGGGTGATCATGATGGGAACAATCTCTTAAATTTAAAATAGGTATTACAACATTATGACTACAAAGATATAGCTCTAGAATAGATTTGAGGATTTTTATCATGGCCAATATATTTTATTTTGCTTTCTTCAAATATCCATGCAGGTGTTATGATTCTTTGAATGAGTTTTGACTCTCCAGGTGACTATATGAACAGATCTATACAGTTTTCTTGGCAACATTTTTTTCAAGAGTGATTGGTTAGTACCTTGTTCATGGATGGTACTTCCTAATTCAGGGTGACCCAGTGATTAGTCCAAAGTCACCCATTTCAGTGGTGGGATTCAAATTTTTTTACTACCGGTTCTGTGGGCGTGACTTGGTGGGCACGGTGTGGCTTGGTGGGCATGGCAGAGAAAGAATACTGCAAAATCCCCATTCCCTCTCCACCCCACTGGCCTGTTTTCCAGCTCTGTTCTCCTGTGCAGAGCAACCAAACAAGACCCAGCCAATCAGCTGGGACTCGGGAGGCAGAGAATAGATGGGAGTGGAGCCAGTCAGAGGGGGTATTGGCCGGTTCTCCAAACTACTCAAAATTTCTGCTACTGGTTCTCCAGAACTGGTCAGAACCTGCTGAATACCACCCTGACCTATTTGGGTTCCATGCCGAGGGGCTTCCTGTTCTTAATACAATATCTTTAACTATGACAAACTTGTTTTTCAATTATCTGTATATTATATTTATATAGGTTGTATTATCTATAGATTATGCTTTTTTGCTGATTTTACTGCAAAAAGGCTTTTCTCTGCATTATAAGTTTGCATTACTTGAAGCTAGTTTTCATTTTATGCTTAGCATTTATCAATTGGATCATTATGTGAAGTTGAAACAAATCATTTTTCCTATATTTTTTTCAAATGAAACAAAAACGGTTTTCATACCTGAATCTTGTAACTGTTGCATTTATGAAACCGGGTAAAACTGAATAGCCCTCAATAAACTGAAAGAAAGCAATACATTTTGCAGAGTATTTATTATTAATTAAGGCCACATTATTTCACTTACTATTACAGACATCTTACATACTTTCATGAAACATCAAGTAAATATGATTTTCACAGTCCTGGTCTCATGGGCTAAGGATTCTTTGCTGAATCTAATATAGAAATAATATACTAAAAGTGGACAAAGAGATACGTTGGATTACAATACCCATAACACCCAATCAGCATACTTATCAATTAAGAACACTGTTATGTAAAACAGGGCTCCCAAACTGTTTGGAACCAGGCCATGGAAGTGGTGGGTGAGCACGAAGCTTCATTTGTGAAAGCGGCGAGCATGCACATGCAAAGCCATCCTTTCTCCCCACCCCCGCCACCTCTATTGAGTGCCAAGCTGAAAAAAATGGGGAATGCTGTTCTAAAACATCTGAAAGGTATTAGATAGAAGGTTAGTATAACCTGAATTTTAATTCAAAGAGTTTAATCAAAGTAAGTCCATTCAATAAATACTTTCCCAGGCTTAATAGTTTCCCAGGCTTTGGCAGTTCCTTGCCAAACAAGCTAACAGTAAACATCTCATCCAAAGAACCTCCAAGACCCACCAACACTGAGAGGGCAAGCCACTAGACTATAACTTGACACAAACTCCCTACTAGCAGTGATGCTGTTATGTAGTTTGGGTAATGAAACATCTGCAAGAAATCAACCAATCTCAAAGAGCACCAAGGAGCCCTCATTTCATCTCTGAGCTACAAATATTTTCCTTTATTACATTAAAGGCTGTATATATATAGAATGCTTTTTCTACTCTTCCACTATGCTATCACCAGATAATCTCTAGTTGAATATATGTATGGATTATCTTCCATTTTAGGAACTTGGGACCCACATACATCAGCAAGCATTTATTACTTTCTGTTATATAGGTGTTTCAATTAAAAATATGTTTCTGTTTGTGTAAGTTTGCCACTATCAGTCCCATAAAAATGCAGCATTGTTCATAGACGACTTAAAGTATCAGTTGCTTTCCCAACTATACAGAAAATGCAACTGGACTGTCTCAGCTTTTTTAACCTTGAAAACATTTTGCTTCTCATTCAAGATGCTTCATGGATGAGAAACAAAACATTTTCAAGGAAAAAACCTGAGACAGTCCAGTTGCCTTTTGAAAAGTGGCTTTGGGACAAACATGACTCTCCATAGACAACTAGATACCATGTTCACACTTTCAGTATAGTTATATACGCTTACAATAATAAAAACCCAACAACCAACAGTGTTGTGGGAGAAAGCCAATGTTTGTTGCTCCAGGAGCTGTGGCAGTTCAGGGGCCATTTCAATAACAATTCTAAATCCTCCTATTGGTCATCTGGAAAGAGAACACATTGGCTTATTGCCTGTTCTGAGCCACCAGAAATGAAGATAATCCAAGGTCAGTTTCAAATTCTTTTGTAACAGCTTGTAAATGGACATGGGCTGAAAACTGTGCAATATGAAAGGCCTATGGAGAACTTATTTGGATGGCTTCAGTTAAGAGTTTAGTTGAGGTACTAAAAAGACTACAAAATGGGACTTGCATTTGTTTTTATCACCCAAAATATCTAGACACCTTGAAAAAAAATCCTCTTCAGCTAAGTAATAAGAGTTTTAAAATATCTTGGCCATGTTTTAGCTGAAGAACCAGCTCAGACTTACTGCTTTCTCAAGATCATGTTTGTATTGTTTGAACAACACAGAGGATGAATCCCATAGAGCATCCTTGAAGGGTATATCAAGTCGGACAGACATTTTTGTTATGAGCACTGAAGGCATATCTGTGGTAAAAAAAAAAAAGAAGAAGAAAAATATTCTTATTAGCTGAAATAAAGATCTGAAAATAAAGCCTCATTTAATCATAAAACTCAGTCTTGGCTAAATGCTTAATAGTCCATTCATTTAAAATTCACATTAATTTAGTTATGTATTCTTTTACCGGAGCTTGCATGACAACATGGAGAAGATGAAAATAATAATCTGAAATATGGCAATGGGAACAAATGGAACAATGCCTACAATAGAGGGATTAAATTCGTAGGGCTGGCGTAGGAGCAGTAATATAACAAAAACAAGAAATTGTCTTGAAAACAAGAAATTAAATAGAAAATAACTAATAAATATGGAGGATGGGAACAGAGCACAAACAATATGAAATGACTGAGAAGGGGCTCTTTTGTGAAAAGATAATTTTTAGGTAATGCCCATTATATGTATACTAGTGTACAAGAGAAACCAAGCCATTCTTCGAGATCAACTGACATATTTAGAATGTTGATTAAATGCCATAGACACTTTCCCACAATTGTTGCAGTGGTGGATATGGCTAGTCATAAAGGACCCATTTACCAGAAGGTTGCAGCCACCTATCCTCTTATTTTCTAAGGATTCTTCCAGTTTATGTGCTGGGGGCATAGCCATGAGAAATGCAGGTAATGCTTGAGATCTATGCTTTGATTTTCTACATGCTAGCTTCCCACTCAATTTTCAAAATCAAAGTATTCTAAACCAATGCAATTAGATGTAGCAGAGAACTCAGGAAGCACCATGGTCACCCCATATTGGGGATTTAGGATAAGTGGAATAAAAATATAATCAATGCAGTTGCAAAATGTAGGAGGCTTTTCAAATTTTGCAAATCATAGGATGACGATAAAGATCTACAACGGATTTCTGATTGTGTTTGATTGCATAGATTATAGAAGTCAAACATTATTCAGATGACATTTGACAGATTCCAGGAAGTGAAGAATTGGCAAATAGCAATGGTGTAAAATGTAGGCTGAAAAGGCTGTGAGCTGCTATCCTAGAGTATATATCAGAACTTTCTAATTTGAAAATACGTTAAGCTTCCATTTTGGCAGATTACCATGAAAAGTTATTTTTTTCATGAATGACTTGCTGTTGCCCCTAAGTCACCACTCATCCTCATGTGCCACCTCCTCTTACCTTCTGACTGAAGTTCACAAAAAGTCCCTTGAGGAGGAATCTGCGCGATACAGTTGCAGCTCTTTCCCGCTGCCATTGTAGTATTAGGGCAGACAGGATATGCTTTACAGATCTTGGCAGACCATCCATAATCAGGTTCACAGAAACAATGAGAATGATTAGTGCCAGCTGAGTTGCATACTAATGTGAGAAAAGAGAAAGAGGGGAAAAAAAAAAGACTTAAATCATAGTATCTTGTTGATGTTATTCATCTCATTGATTATGGTTACTCTGTATGCATGATTCAAACTTTACAAAAACTTGGAGGGTTGAATATCCAAGATCCTAAACCAGTGTTTCTCAACTTTGGCCACTTGAACATATATGGACTTCAGCTCCCAGAATTCCCCAGCTAGCCAGGTTGGGTTTATTTTTTTTTAGTTCTGGCTTTTCAAAAGTGTTTTAGGTTAAACCCTAAACACACTGTGAATATTGGTTAATTGTAAATTAATAATATATTTTAAAAATCACTTTTTTAGCCTCACAGGTTGATTCATGCCATATTAAAAATATTGGATCAGATCTGCAGTAACAAAGGTAAGGTAATGCGTTGGGTCTCTTAGTCTCAATTTCTCTAGCAAACATTAAGTATGGTTAATCTGTTCATGTATGAATATATTAATCAGTTAAATCATTACATTGGATAATATTGACTTCAGGGTGTGACCTTCAAACCCTACAGAGTACTTTGTAGAACATCAAATGTCAAGAGGAACGTTGACCTTCAGACCAAGGGCTTCCAGTTGTTTCAGGTATAACGTGATTCTTACCAAAATAGGAGAGGAAGGTATGTTGAATATGTTTGATGTTTTGAATTATTTGTAAAAATAATAAAGGTGGGATACAAATAAATAAATATCTGCAAGTAAAGAGTTTAACAGAGGCCAACAACCTAACCAAAAAACAAAGTAACAGAGTTGAAAGGGACCATGGAGGTCTTTTAATCCAACCCCTTGCACAAGAAGGAAATCCTATACCATTTCAGACAAATTGTTGCCTAATTTCTTTTTTAAACCTCCTGTGTTGGAGCACCCACAATTTCTGGAGGCAAGTCATCCCATTCCAATTGTTCTAACTGTCAGGAAATTTCTCCTTAGTTCTAAGTTGCTTCTCTCCTTGATTAGTTTCCATCCATTACTTCTTGTCCTGCCCTCAGGTGCTTTGGAGAATAGTTTGACTCCCTCTTTTTTGTGGCTGCCCCTTAGATATTGGACCACTGCTATCATGTCATTTCTAGTCCTTTTCTAGATATACCCAATTTCAGAACCATTCTTTAGCCTCCAGTCCCCTAATCATCTTTGTTGCTCTTCACTGCAGTCTTTCTAGAGTCTCAAAATCTTTTTACATTATAGTGACCAAAACTGGCTGCAGTATTCTAAGTGTGGCCTTACCAAGGTGTTATAGAGTGGTATTAACATTTCATGTGATCGTGATTCTATCCCTCGGTTAATGCAGCCTAGAATTGCTGGATCATATTTAAATGATTGTCCACTCAGACTAAGCTGAGCTGAACACTCACTACAGTCCTCCTTCCCAAGTAGAGATTCCACTATAAATGTCATTTTTTAGAACAAGAAAGGGTTGTGTGAATCTTTTCTGAACAATCTACACCATTTTTAAACCAGTAAAAGAACTATCCAATCTGAACTGTCAAACTACAGATTTTACAACCCAAATATGATTGATCCGGTGCCCACATTTCTCCACTGGATTGAAGCAATATGTCAAGAAACAGGGAGGACAAATGTTTAAGTACATTAAACAGATTAATGTACTGTTTTGATAAATCAGATTGTTTTACAGAATTTTATCTATTGCAGGAAGTATTGCTAATCTTTTATAAATATTTTAGTGTTTCCTGCCTATCTTAATTCTCCCAAATACTTTTTAGTTCTGAGTCCTTTTATGGCTTCCAAAAGAAATTCACCCTCCAACCTCTGATCAGGACATTAAAGGAGAAAGGAACTAAGTGAACGAAATGTGCTTCTAACTTCCTGGAACATGAGAACAGTTAATTCCATTGGGTTGAATCGCAAAGAGCCACCCTATACCGCAAAGAGGCTCTTGTGTTCCCAGAAGACTTCCCTTCTCTTCATATTAGAAGAGCTGTCAGGTGTTAGCAAATATTAATATAATGTGTTTTGTTTCATTTTGAAATAATGGATGAGTCTCTTGGTAGCTATTCCTTTGGCTCCTGGACAAGGCCTGTCAAAAGTGTGAGGTGCCAGCAAAGGTAATATGATCTAACATTTAGTGATTATTTAAAGCAATGGTTCTCTGTGGACTCTGGGACTCTGGGACCTTTTCAAGGGGGGAAGTCTGAAAAGTCTATAAAACTATTTTTATAACGATACTAAAATATTATTTAAGTTTTCCATTCCTATTCTCATAAAGGTAGACTGTAGTTTTTTAGGGACTACATGACAAGTGGTGAAGTCATCACTCTGATGGGTAATAACATATGCAGGGGTGGGATGTTACTGGTTCGACCCGGTTCTATAGAACCGGTAGCTCCAAAGAGCAGCTGATATCAAACTGGTTCACTGCAACAATTTTCTAGTTGTCTGTTTGGCCCACCCACCTGCCTGGGCTCTAGGCTGCCCTTTATTCTCTGCTTTTTCCTCCTCAGCTGCTTTGAGCGGCACAGCTGTGCCACTCGTCAGCTGGAGCAGCTGAATGCTTGCCGGACCTGGTGATTTGTAAGTAATGTGCATGGGAGTGTAATGCACACACATGCACAGTGTGCATTTGGCGTGCATGCACATCAAGTGAAGCAGTTGTTATGACGGTAGGATCCCAACCCTGAACATATGTGCTTGTGTTTTCTTATATTTGTTAGGATTTTTTTAAGGTAGCAAGTTTAGGATATAAATATGTTTGTTTTCAGAATAACTCAGTTTTAGGGTTAAAGTTAGTGATCATGTAATGGGTTTACTATTTATTTCTTTATTTTATTTATTTATTTTGTCAAGCAATGATAAGATAACAGGTATAAGTATAAACATAGTTATGGATACATGAAATGGATACATATAAGAAAATTAAAAGAAATAAAAATATAAAAGAAACAATAGGACAGGAACGGTAGGCAGGTTGGTGCACGTATGCACGCCCCCTACAGACCTTTTAGGAAAGGGGTGAGGTCAATAGTAGACAGTCTAAGGTTAAAGTTTTTGGGGTTTGTTATTGTTATTTTTAAATGAATAAATAAACCCAACAAACCAAAACTGTTTAGTGTCCTCAATAATTTTTAAGAATGTAAAGGAGTACTGAAATTAAACAATTAAGAATGTACCACAGATTTGATCCAGCTATTTATTTTTAACACACACACACACCAAAATACCCCAAAATTAAATTGAACATAGAAAAAGCAAATGTTGATAGTAAATGGTGAAAGATTACTTACTGGTAGTAATATTAATTTGTGAAATGCTTATATCTGAATCAGAGACGTTTACTGAAACTGGGAGACTAAGGTTTTTTAAAAATTTTCTGAGGTCCTCCCGGAGTGAGATGTCTACAAAGTTTATCTCCACAGCAATCGTGTATTCTGGCAACATGTCTAACAAGGGAGAAAAAATTATCTGTCATGATTAATTATGTCATAAGAGTGATTCAGCCATGTTCTGCTATTTTCTTCTCAATGACGGTCCATGCCAGAAAATCCCAGGCCCAGGAGTCAGAAAATCTCTCACAATGAGCGTATCTTGTCAACTAACTTGCGAGTTTCATCTAGTACAGAATGCAGCAATGTAAGCAAATATGTGCATTTTTCAATCAGTGCATGTTGTACCTCTGTTCCAGCAGCTGCATTGGTTGCCAATATGCTTGCTTCCAGGTTCAATTCAAGGTGGTGGTAATAACTTATGAAGCCATTCATGGCATGAGGCTGGGTTATTTGAGGGACTGCCCCTCACTGGTTACATCTACCCATCCCATCAAGGTTGACGTGTTATGGGTCTTATCCAAGAGCCAAGAAGAGAGCCTTTTCTATCATGGTTCAGATCCTTTGGAACATCATCCCCCCCACGCACCCAAAAGATTAGATTGGCTGCAAATTCTTCTTTTGCCCTCTTTCCTTGGTCTTCCTGTGATTGTGCAAGCACATGCACACACACACACACACACACACACACACACACACACACATGCACCCTGGTCTCCTGGCAATCGCACAAATGCATTCACCCAGCACCTTCTCCATGGCCACCTTGCAATCACAAGCACTTCAGGTCCTTTTTTTCCAACAGCTTCCATACAATTGCACACATGAACACACACATCAGCTCCCTCCTTTCCCGGCCTTCCTGACCTGACATTGCATCATCTCTCAGGACCTCCCTACCCCTTCCCCAACATTCCTTACCTGGGACTCACTCCACTCCCCACTTAATGACTCACACATCTTGGGTTGCAACAACAACCAGGACTGCCTGGATTGGTTTTGCTAACCAATGTGGTCATGTGACATTTCACTTTATGACCCCCTTACTTAGTGATGGCAGTCCTGGTCCCAATTGCAACTGATCCCAATTGCAACTGTAACTTGGAATTAAACTCCATTTAACATGTTATACTGTATGTTTACCACAACAAGCATTGGTGCTTTTGAGCTGCCCTGTATCCTATCTCTGCATCTCCCAGTGTGATGCCCAGGGATCCCAATGACACATTCCTTGATGACTTTGGGATGCTCTGCCCAGTTTGCTTGAGATTGACCATGCACTACTGCCATCCTTTTGTGAATGGGCAAGCTCCATCTCTACCTATTAAGAAAATATCTGCAAGAAAACAAGCTGGCTCAGAACTACTCATTTCAACCCTGGGTTACAAACAGTCTCTATCAGTATTTATAACATTCTGCTTAACAATTGCACCTTATTTGCTTCACAACTGCAGCTGGAACTGATGTCATAAGTCAGGCATGGTCAAGTGACATTTTACTTTATGATCACTCTGTTAACAATGGAATTGTCTAGTCCAGTTGTGGCAAGCTGGCAAGCAAGGCAGAAATCAGATCATTTACCAAAGCAAAGTGATTGTACAAATTGATGTGTATCTGAAGCTGAAGCTACTGTTGGTAAGCAAAAGATGTTAAAAGACATCCACCCACCTTGGCGCTTTTGTCTGTGTAACTCCAATTGTGTGGTGTTCTCCTCTATTTTGCCCCACTTGCTGTGAATCTGAAAGACAGGCAGTTTCCTCTTTATAAGAAAATAATTATGCATTGGGGGAGGGTTTTCAAGAAGAACCATAAATATTCATTCCTGGTGTATCAACCACCAGGAATTTCAACCACCCGATGACTCAACTTTCTGGAGACAACACTTACATAATAGTTCATGAATGAAGGTGAATATACATACATGTCCCAGGATAAAGTTGCAGGACCCAATCTGAGTTGGTCAACAGGACCAGAGGTTTTGTCTTCCAAGCCCAGCCTTGGGGAACTTCTCTCTCTCTCCCCCCACACCCTAGACTAGAGATGAGTTCCCTGAAGATGGGCTTCATCATGAGTCAAAAAGCTCAGAAGATAAAACCTCTGGTCCCAGTGTCTGACCCAGATTGGATCCTACAAAGCTATACTTGTTGAAGGTAGCAAATTCTCAAAAGACTGTTCCATTTTTGAGAATTTGCTACCTCAAGCAGTTAGAGCTTCTAGCATTCCCTATTATGCGGGAGAAGATATTGACAATGTAATCGCCACACAGTTTAGAAAGACATAAAGTCAAGATGCTGCTGAACTGCTTCTTGGAGGCTCAGTGACACATGACACCTTCTTTTATTGTAGCCTCTAGATCCATGATGGTGAACCTACGGCACGTGTGCCACAGGTGGCACACAGAGCCATTTCTGCTGGCATGAGAGCCGCAGGCAAACTTACCTCACTGCGCATACGTGCACCTCACAGCTGATTTGGGGGTTGGTTTGAGTCCTTTTTCGGCCTCCCAGAGGCTTGAAAAAAACCTCTGCAGGCTTTGCAGGATGAATAATAGGTCTGTTTCATCACTTCCTGTAATACCAGAAGTGATGGAACGGGCCTATTATTCGGCCTGCAAAGCCTGCAGAGGCTTTTTTCAAGCCTCTGGGAGGCCGAAAAAGGACTCAAACCAATCCAAAAATCAGCTGTGAGGCGAAGTGCAGGTAAGAAGGTGGCGGGGGGATTGCACAGATATGCACCGGGGGCGTGGGGGGGACGCACATTGCTTCCTAGGTGCTGGCACACGAGTGCGCAAGCACAAGTGCACACACAAATTTTGGCACAGGAGCCCAAAAAGGTTAGCCACCACTGCTCTAGATAATTAGAACTATAGATTCTCAGAATTCCAAGTTACTACGTCATGTGTAAGATCTGATCCTCTGCCAGAGCAAGTATGAACATTATAGGTACTCACAGATGAATAGATGAAGGTGTCCAAGATGAAGTTCCATGAAATCTGGGAAGAGGTGTGCACCCTCATGAGAGCGCTGAACATGGCTATCCTCCAAAAGAACATTATTTCCTGTGTTTTGTTGCTGCACCAAAGGAAAACAAGTTTTATTTATGTTTATATATAAAAAAAAGAAACACTGTGTTCTTTACTCAAAGTCAACCCAGAGAAATTAAGCTTACTTTTTGAAAGTAAGTCACATGATCAAAGTTTGAATGCTTGGCAGCTGGTCTGTATTGATGACGGTTGTAATGTCCTGAGGACATGTGATCACCTTTTGCGATCTTCTGACAAGCAATGTCAATGAAGGAGCCAGATTAAGAACATAATAACAACTGCAGTGATTCGCTTAATGATTGTTGCAAAAAAAAAGTCGTAAAATGGAGGAAAACTCACTTAACAACTGTTGCTTAGCACCAGAAATGTTGGGCATAATTGTGGTTGTAAGTTGAAGGCCACTTGTACACGTTGTTCAGTTCACAATGCATAGCAATTATTGGTCTGCAAATAAATTCCTTCTGATCCCAGAAAGCATAACATTTTGTCCTCTAGTGTTTCTTTCAGCATATCTAAATATGAAATCATCTTCCGCCTCCTGTATCCAATCTAGCATTTTTCTGGATTCCTAACTGAAGGTGGCCTGGGAACTGACCAGATCAGAAATCAATCCCTCAAATAAATTTGTCCTATTCAGCTGATGCCAGCTTCCCTTTAGTATCTGAGTGCCTTTTCCTTGAAGCTTTTTCTGCTTAAAATTTTATTGCCTTGTGTTAGTTTAGTAATCTTGTGCCCAAATATCTTTTTAATAAACTCATGCTGCCAGGTATATAGATTAGGTCTGCTTTGCTGGTCAACTAAACTAACTGACTGACTGCTTAAGTATCCGAAAATATATACTCTTCCTGAACAAATCAGCAAATACAGGCTGAGTCTCAGGAAGGACTTTTTAGATAGAAGATAGACCACCAACATGAGGAATAAAACTTCATTGGTAAAAACCCAAATGTCTATTCTGCCTCCCCATCTACTATATATCGACAACACCATCACGGGCCCCAACAAATACATACATAAGAGTTGTAGCACATTATATTTGTTAATTGATAAGGAACATGAAATCTGTCATGAAACCTTCATCTGCATAACTCTTCTCTCTTCCCACTCCACTCCATCCCAATATATTTAAATCCTACCTTATTTAAGCCACTCCATGCATGTGATGAACTGAGCTGTAGCTCTTGAAAGCTTGTGCCTTACCATGAATGTATTACTCTTGAAAAATACTACCAGATTGCCTCTGAAGCTTCCTGACAAGTTTTTTTATTCACAGAAAAAGAATTCTCAGTTGCCTTCCATAGCACCATCTACATGCATGTTTCAGATTTATTCAATAGTCAAACATTTTTCTGTGATTATTAAACTGCAAGAACCTCTATATTTCAACTATTCATATCTTGCATGCAACACAATAAAGCAAAACCAAATAAAGCAAATTCTGGCTTAGATAAGAGCATGAATACAACCACTTTTTAAATAACTTTTTGTTTTACCCAAACCTTTCAAGTTTAGGGAAACTGAATAATACAGTACACACCATTTTCCAATTTATAACCTTTTACTCTCGGAACAACCCTGCTGGGAAAGTTAATTAGTAAACTACTGGCCTAAGTTCCTAAGTAAGTTCCTAAGAATCAGCACCAGTCCCTATTTTCTACAAGATGGGAAACTCTCCTTTGTCCTTTTGAAACACCCTGTGTTTACTATATATTATTGTTTATTATTGCCTGCTTTGGCCATTGGAACTCAATGCACAATATTGATCCTCTTTTTTCCCCCCTCCATCAAACAATTATTTGAAGAGAATATGGTAGCAAAGGTCAACTAGTGGCTTTTTATGGCTAAGAATATGCTGGGCATCTGTTGGACAAAATCACTCAGATCTACTCCCACTTAGATTCCCGTCTTGGAGTGGGTTCTGTGGAGATACCTCTTGCTTAGTTAGTTAGAGTCTTGCTTAGTTATCCAGGAGGAATTGATTTCTTTTGGAACTGAGGAAGCAGATGGGAACCTCATGCCTAGGAGCCACATATTAGATGCACAACCTGAGGCCACTCGGGATGTGATATGTGGTCGACAGTGGGCAAGGGTGAATTCTTCCATGAGTGAAGGGGCTGATTCCTCTTCCTTTTAAACAGGCAGTGGTTCAGCCCTTAAGAAGTCAATGCTAGACTGTTTTGCACATTTTTGTCCTCCTTCCTTTCCTTTTTAGGAAAGGTTGCTGAGAAGTTGGTTGCTGAGAAGTTGGTTGCACAGCAACTTCAGAGGATTCTGAATGAAGAAATTTTCTGGACTCTTTTCAATCTGGATCCAGGCCTGAGTATGGAAAGGAAGAGCATAGGTCAAATTTTTGGATGGTAGACAAAATTGAAAGTAGTGTATACATCCTTGACATCCCAGTGGTTTTCAATGCCATCAACCATGGTATTCTTCTGGATCAGTTCTTGTCATGGCCCAGGACTCAGACTCTGAAGAAAGTATTCCAGCTGAACCAGTGGGATGTTATTTTTATTTATTTATTTATTTTGATTTGTCAATTGCTTACAAGATAATAGGTATAAGTATATACATAGTTATGAATATATGAAATGGGCACATATAAGAAAAAACAAAAGAAACAACAGGACAGGGATGGTAGGCATGTTGGTGCACTTATGCACGCCCCCTACAGACCTCTTAGGAAAGGGGTGAGGTCAATAGTAGACAGTCTAAGGTTAAAGTTTTTGGGGTTTGGGGAAGAAACCACAGAGTCAGGTAGAGTATTCCAGACATTGACCGCTCTGTTGCTGAAGTCGTATTTCCTGCAATCAAGTTTGGTGAGGTTAACCTTGAGTTTGTATCTATTGTGTGCTCTTGTGTTGTTATGGTTGAAGCTGAAGTATTCATTGACAGGTAGGACATTGCAATGTATGATTTTATATACAATACTTAGATCGGACCGAAGGCCATGTAGTTCTAGGTTTTCTAGGTCTAGAATTTCGAGTCTGGTGGCATAAGGTATTCTACAACGAGTAGAGGAGTGGAGAACTCTTCTTGTGAATCCTCAGGAGACACTAAGCCAGGAATCACCTGAGGCTGATCATTAAAGCCAACGTCTTTAAGACATTCTTTGGCTCAGTATTTGTAAACAGCAATGGATCATGCCCAGTATATCCTAGTCGAACCATAGACAACAACAATGATTTAATACTTATTGATTTTACAGAAGACAATGTTGAAAAAGCACTATTCAATCTAAAACCATCTCTATCTATTGGACTGGACGGAATATGTGCCTACTTCTTAAAAAAGCTACCCACTGCCATAGCAGAACCTCTAAGCATAATCTTTGAAAAATCTTTCAGGACCAGCTCCTTGCCAAACCTATGGTCTCAAGCCATAGTCATCCCCATCTTCAAAAAGGGAGACCCCAGCCTAGTTGAAAATTACAGACCAATCTCTTTATGCTGCGTCACCTGTAAAGTAATGGAATCAATTATTATCCAATCCATTATCCTCCACTTAGAGACAAACATCCTACTCTCTAATAAACAATTTGGTTAAAGAAAAAAACTATCCTGCAAACTGCAACTCTTACTCTGCAAAAAAAATATGGACTACACAACTCAATCAGGGCAAAGCAATAGACGCAATCTACATAGACTTCTGTAAAGCCTTTGATTCAGTGGTACACGACAAACTACTACTAAAACGAAAATCTTACGGTACCTCTGGACACCTGCATAACTGGATAGAAGCATTTCTGTCAAACAGGCAACAAATGGTCAAAGTTGGGAGCGTCCTATCAAATCCTGTACCTGTCAACAGTGGTGTCCCCAAAGGCAGTGTTCTAGGACCAACTCTTTTCATACTCTACATAAATGACCTCTGGGATCATATTAAGAGCAACTGCGTTCTCTTTGCTGACGAGGTAAAGCTATTCAACAGCACAGACAATACTGCTACTCTTCAAAAAGACATCGACTATGTATCAGATTGGTCAAACAAATGGCAACTTCAAATCTCAACAAATAAATGCTCTGTCTTACCTATTGGCAAAAAAAATCAGAAAATAAAATAGTCAAGACCTTGTTGAGGATCCAAACTCTGTCAAGGACCTTGGAGTACTCATCTCTAATGACCTAAGTGCTAGAGCCCACTGTAACTACATAGCCAAAAAGGCACTAAGAGTTGTTAACCTAATCTTACATAGCTTTTTCTCTGGTAATATTACACTAATAACTAGAGCAGACAAAACATTTGCTAGACCAATATTCAAATACAGCTCATCAGCCTGGAACCCATATTACGTATCTGATATTAACACAGTTGAGAAAGTCCAGAATCTTTCAGAATATTTCACAAGAAGAGTTCTCCACTCCTCTACTCCTTGCAGAATACTTTATGCCACCAGACTTGAAATTCTAGACCTAGAAAACCTAGAACTACGTGGCCTTCGGTCCGATCTAAGTATAGTATATAAAATCATACATTGCAATGTCCTACCTGTCAATGAATACTTCAGCTTCAACCATAACAACACAAGAGCACACAATAGATACAAACTCAAGGTTAACCTCACCAAACTTGATTGCAGGAAATACGACTTCAGCAACAGAGTGGTCAATTTCTGGAATACTCTACCTGACTCTGTGGTTTCTTCCCCAAACCCCAAAAACTTTAACCTTAGACTGTCTACTATTGACCTCACCCCTTTCCTAAGAGGTCTGTAGGGAGTGTGCATAAAAGTACCAACGTGCCTACCATCCCTGTCCTATTGTTTCTTTTATTTTTCTTATATGTATCCATGTATTCATAACTATATTTTTACTTATACCTATTTATTATCTTGTAAGCAATTGACAAACCAAATAAAACAAAATAAACACAATAAAACATATCTGAGCACCATCAGGAGCAGTCAGTTGATGAAGTATGGTCTCCAAACTTGCAGAGTTGGCAAGTAGAGGAGACAGCCGAGCAAAGAAGCTCAATGAGGTTCCTTGCCAAGCAAGGGAGTAATTTTCTTAATCAAAGAGGGCTGGCTTG